ATGAGACCCTCCCTAGGCTGCCACAAAACATCTTTTTTTTTCTAAAGGCTCTTCTGAACTTTGATATGTGCCAAGACACCGCTATTGAAAGCTGTATAATTATGTGCTATAGCCACTGTAGAAAATGCTTTGTTCACCACAACAAAGAACAATAAGCAAAGTAAAGTGACATTACACTGTATCTTTTTCTTTAAGAATGTTGAGAAAGGTCACGGTACGTTATAACTAATAAAGCTGTTGAGTAAGGAAGTTTAAAGTTGATCTTGCTGTGCTTAAATGTAACCCAATGACAAAAAGACAGAGGGAACTAAAATTGTAATGACATTAAAAAATAGATCATATATCAACGTGCCAACTTCATTATACAAACACCTTGAATCCAAAAGGACGCAAACAGGAAAACCGAGTGTAGTCCTGCAACAGTATTCCTCTGGCGATTCTCTCCCTAATAGCTTCCACCTACAATCTGCAGTTCCACTAACTGCAAAATCTGATTAATAGGCATTAATTGATACGTGCAATGCACGGACCTTCTATTGCAAGCCGTGGATTTTGTTACTTGATTAAAAACCGGGTTCGTTTCCTGTGCAGTCTGAAGGAAGGCTCTGCTGTTTCACAAGTGAGCCTCTTCAACATTTAACAGCAAGGAAAAAACCCCTCAGGGCATCAATTACATTTCCTGCAACCAAGACTTTTAAGTGAGAAAGAAGTTCCATCTAGACACCTATGTTTCGTTTGTCTTCAAAGGAATCAGGCCAGTTACATTTGCTAATCTCAAACTGCTGAAGCAGCTTGGCTCTCCTTGCTGCAGAACACCAGGCTCTGACAACTCTGTCTTTAAGAATGCTGAGAACGATGTTGAAATGCTACAACAATAAAGCCCTTGAAAGGAGGAAGGATACAGCTGAGGGAAAAAATACGAGGAGTTTAGTATTGGAATAAACAACTGCCCCGTTTAAGCTGTGTCCACTGCTGGTACCACCACAAGTGCAGAGACTGCCACAGCAGAGCACTTTGTATGGAAAAAGCAATCTCAGACAAGGAAGTTAGCAAGTTACGGACTTCATTTTCACTTCTCTTGAGGCCACTTTGCACTGCTCTGGTTGTGTAAAGGAGTATTAATTAGGGTGGTTATAAATTGTACTTCACAGCGCCTGTGTATTACAAAACCACTCGTAAGTGGCCTTAGTTTAAATAAGAATCAGGTTCAAAGGCTTTAAATTCTGCTTTTGATGAACACCAATTCAGCTCAAGATGAATCCTGCAGATGAAACTGGGGAAGAATACAGCCTCCTAAAATAAACACGAGTGGCCAGAATTATTGGTCATTTAGGTTGTCTTAATTTTTGGATGCAGTGCCGGGCACACTTTGTTTTCAGGGAACAGACCATTGAGGACCTCCTGACAAAGTGGCTCTCATTGAGCTCGAGTTTAGCATCCCAGAATGGAATTGGCCTAAACCCATCGTCACTTCTGAAAATGTTGGCAGCCAGCATTCCTCTCAAGGGTTCATAGGCCACTTACGTGACTGGCTTATTACTTAGATTTAATAGGTGGTGTTCTTTGACTGGTTTTACATAATCTCATTGATTATTATGGGGCTAACTCAGAGTGCCTTAAGTTAAGCATTCTGCTAAGGCTTGAGTACAACTGCTCTTAATTAAGGTTTTCCCACTAGCATGGCTTTCCCTTGCCAAAAGCAGAGTAAATGTCTTAAAACCAGGTTTCTCCCCCTTCTAAACAACGACACGTGCCATAAGTAGCGCTATTAAAAGAGGAAATCAGTGCTTCAAGCCCCACTGTACCAAACCTGCACACAGTGTATTTGTGCAAATAATGCAGCTTGGCAGATGCCTCACTATTGTGATCAATCTCAATAACTACGTCTGCAAAACCAGGCGAGTTCCCGGGAAGCAGCAGGCAGCTGAGCTCAGAAAGATGCCGCGTGTGGGGCTTGCTCTGGTGCTCATTTGCTCGCTACACAGAGGAGCATGGTGAGTGTAAGGAGTAGGCAGGAGGGCACAGAGTGAACTCGCTCGCACAGGGAGACCCCGAGACTTCAGAACTAAGACCTGAGTGTCGTTAAATGGCCACAAGGAAAAGGAACGAGCATCGTGCAGAGAGACGGTAATGCACAGAGAGCAACGGTAACTATAGAAAAATATCAGGGAACAAGGATGATGGAGGAGGAGCCCACGCAAGGCTCAAATCTGGGTATTGTCCTCAGGCCAATTCTTTTTCTTTTTGCAAGTACATACATTGAACAATAAAACTCTTATTTATGATTTTTAACCATATTTTTATCTTAACTCACAGCATGGTCCCTTCCTTGTCTGAAATCATCCTGCCACAGTCGCAACTGTGAGCTCTGCTCATCTGTGTTAGGATGGGTTTTGCAAGAGAGTTATGAAATTATTTGGGATTATTTTTTTTATCTTTCAATGCATAGCAACAATACCTGACTTTAATTATTGCAGCTGGCATTCAAAAGCCTATGGCAACACCACAGATGAGGCAGATATCAAGTGGCACAGCAAGCTGTCCTCTCTTTCTGACCAATTTTGGCGTTTATGCTGGGACACTGACATTTGTGGCTTTCATTCACCAGGACAAGCCACCTTCTCCCTCCCTGGAAGTATAGCCCCAGAGCAGAGAAGCATCTTCGCCTTCCAGTGTGGTTTTATTTCCTCCCCTTTCAAAACTCAGTTTCAAATTGCTCTGCGCAGCTCAGCACAGGTTTCCCCAGCTAATGTGAGAGAGAGAAATGCGGAACTGGCTACAGACACACATGTGCACACAAAACACAGGCAAAGTTGTGTCGCTCTGGAGGAGGCGTATCTGTCTCTGGCTCGCAGCCACGAGGGTACAATGGCAAAGCTAAAACCGATAGGGCATGTGGTTTGTTAAACATCTTATTTGACTTTGCTACAAGCTGTCAGTTGCAATGCGCAGGGAAAGGAACACAGTATCACAGATTCCTCAGCAAATCAATGGCACAGCCTGATATGGACCAAACACACTTTTAGCTTTAGCATTTTTTTTCCTAAGAGTCAATTTAGGAGTAGTAAAGTAAATACATGAATTTCACCCGAGAGGAGATAAAGGGGGAACATTCAGAGTAGCGGTGTGGGTGATTTAAAAGAAACAGCATCAGACTCACCAGAAGACCAGCAAAGCATCATTGAAGTGTGAGAGGAAGGAACTTTGATGATGCTAAATATGGCAAATGCTCAGTTCGCTGAATCCTTTTGGATCCAATTTCAACATTATAGTACTTGTCATTTTTGCTTCACAGTTTGTGGTGGAGGGGCCGGGCATTTATCAGGGAAAGTTACACTGTCTGCATTAAAAACTGCACTGCACAGTGTCATGATCTCAGGACTGCTGGATCTTCACTGCAAAACCAAGATTTAAACCACTAGGAAATTCTCATCATGCTAGATAACACAAGAAAGACTGAGGGAAAGCATCTGCAAATCATCACCATTTATAACATCTCTTCCCCTCAAGGATGGGGGGAAAACCCCAATGGGCTCCTTTCCTACCAGCTCAAAGCCCCCCTGGCTGAGAAGAGGAGACTGCAATCACAAGCAATGCTAAACACAGGAGATTTATATCCTTTTCTACCTGGAAACACCCATATGCTCCCTACTGAAGTAACCCATTCACATTAACACTGCAACTAACATTTTAAAAAGCAGTAGTAAGTGCCTGAAGTCATCAAGGGTACAAGAACTTTTGAGGGCAGAAAACGTTTCAACCTACGTTCTGCAACCAGGAAAAAGCTGTGTTAAAAGGAAGAAGAGTTTGATGTCATTTAAGTCCATTTTGACAGAAAAAAAAAATCCCTACAACTGGTCCCACTTATTTCCTTATGCATTTCCTCTTCTTTTCCTGTATTCAGTTATCATTCCTTGGCATACAGGCAGACCTGCCTCCCAGGGGTGGGAGTCTCCTGTCTTGTGAGTACGTGGGGACCAGAGGCCTCAGGAGGGCCTGGGGGGCCACGGCACACTAAACATCAAGTCTGGATGTTGTTGTCAGCCACAAGGAATGGCAGAACATCCTCTTTCCCCCTCTTTCTTCATCTGCCCCCTCCATGCAACCATTCTCCCAGAAAACTCTACATGCCCGGAAGAGGAGCTGAGAAAATCTTTGCTTGGAGACCTTACTGCATCATCTGAACCTATGTGCTATGAGAACGAGCACTGCTAAAAATCACTTGGAAGGATTTTAGGCAGGAAACCACCCTCCTTATGCCAACAAATGTCACTTCTGCAACTGTCAATTATGCAAGTTGACCCCAACAGAAAGGTGCAGACAAAACCAAGCAATTTAATAATTAGTACCACCATGGCTTTCCCACTCCACTTCACTGGGAGAGGGGATTACTCAAGCCTCCCCCTCATGCACACCCTGTTCAAATGCATCATTACATCTGACTACCTGAACAATGCAAACTGCCATCCTCAGCAGGGAGAAACACTCTCCCGTGGTATCGCCGAGGGTCAGCATGTTAATGATAACAATAGTCTGCTGAGCTACCAGGCTGGCCTGTAAACAGGCATCTTAATCAAAGCCACAAACCTGTTACAGCAGAAAACAGAGAGCATTTACTTCGAGCAGTTATCCTGCAGCTTGACAAAGGAAATGCATTTTAGTTCTATAAATCAAATGAAGGAAAGCAGAAGAAGGTAACTGCAAGTGTTTGATCACACAGTTACAGAGGTTAGAAGAGTTGTGAGGTGACTTCTTTCACTATTGTCCCTCTTAAAGGAAACTTCAAAAAGTAGAAACTAGTGAAAACTTTCATCTCTTGTCAAGTCCTAGTAAGGCATAAGCCTCCAGCTCCCAGGGCTGAACAGATTAATCAGCATCATTCAGGGATGTGGAACACCCAGACTCTACCGGCCACGACAAAAAGGGACATTATTTTATAGGCAGGCTGGACCACGGAGCATCTCACACACACGCACAGAGAAACAAAGATGGGTGCCTAC